GATGCATAACAAGCGATTGCAAAGACCATGGCCTGTATCAGGTGCACTTTAGTCTCTAAATATCAGCCCTAGGCAACCACTAATTTATGGATTTGCCTTTTCTGGACATTTCATTAAAAAGAGAATTCTACCATTTCACTAAATTAGAACAAATATGACTAGACTAAATATAGGTCCCTTCCTGGCTGGCTTCCTTTGCATATTTTCAAGGCTTGTCCCTGTTGTTTCATGTAGCACATGTGTTTTTCTGGCGATGGCCTAACTCACTGCTCTTAAGTCAATTCCAACTCACAGTGACCCAATAGGATAGAACAGAACAGCCTGATAAGGCTTCTGAGGCTGCAAATCTTCATGGGAGAAGATTCCCTCATCCTTCTCCCAGGTAGCAGCCTGGGGATTCAAACAGCCAACCTTTCAGCTAGCAGCTCACACTTAAAGCACTATGTCACCTAAGATTTAAACAAACAAACAAACAAATGAGAGGGAGCTCTGATGGCCCAGTGGGTAGGGAGCTGCAAACTCAAATGGGTATCTCCTAGCAGTGCAAATCCACCAGAGAAAGACGGGGAAATCTCTTCCTGGGTGATTTACAGCCTCTGAAATCCCACCGGAGGGTCAACTGTAAGTCGGTTCCAACTCAATGGCACCGAGTTTGAGAGATTTGTTTGGGGAATTTTTTATTTGTTTAAAAAAGAGGGAGAGGGAGAGACAACGACTAGTGTTAAATGTTTTAATTCACTGGATCGTTTAATTCTTTGGCAGAAATTAATTAATCTCATTCATCATCACAAATCATGTCTCAGAGCTCCGTTAACAGGTAATGCTCCAATCTTGACACCCTCACAGAATAAGCAAGTGAACATTCATGCAGCTGGGAAGCAAATTTGAAGCCACAATAACCCAAATTATCCCAAAGCCTGGAAAATTACTAACTTCTAAACGAACTGAACTGAGAATATTTTAAGAGTTCCTGTGTGTAAGTAAAACTTACTCACATCACTAGGTAGAAATGTTTACTTACTATGAGAAGAGGTTTTTAAATAACATTTTCTTTTAGTTAAGTCTACAGAATTATAAACCAAATAAAAAGTATATTTCAAATCCTATTTGTTGAGTAAATGAAAATATGGGGAAAGAAAACTTTTTTTAAAATGATGTGGTTTAGTGGGTAGGGAGTTGCGCTGCTAACCTAAAGGCAAGCAGTTCAAATACAGCAGCTGCTCTGAGGGAGAAAGATGAGACATCTCCTCCTATGTAATGATTTACAGCCTCTGAAAACACACTGGAGAGTCAACTACGAATAAGTTACAACTTTGACCCAATGGGACAGTAATTAAGAAACATACTGCCGTTTGTTGTTGCTATGTGCCGTCGAGCTGTCTACGACACATAGTGACCCTATTCACAACAGCCCTAAACCCTGCTCTGTCCTGTGAGAATCTCCCTGTCTCTGACACACCTACCCCCATTACCCCAATCACTGAACCAACCCACCTCATCAAGGGTCTTCCTCTCCTGCACTGTCCCTCCACGCTCCTAAGCATGATGTCCCTCTCCAAGGACCGGTCCCCTCCTTACAACATGTCCAGAGTATGTCAGATGGAGCTTCAGAATCCTTGCCTCCAAGTAACATATATATATTATTATAATTGTATCAATTCAGTCATCCTATCGATTATCATTATAACTTAAATTTGTGTGTTTCTAATCACAGAGATTACTATGCTTACATGAACACACACTGTATGTTGTTTATTCTTTTTCTAAATTAATTTTAATTCAAGTTTACAGAGACTTAGGGTTTCCATTCATTCATTGTTTCACTTTTCTCCCTGCCCACCCCTCTGCCGCCAATTCACTCTTCTCTTTGAAAGGTAAAAGAAAATTTCTTTCATTGTTATACAATCCCTCCCACCAACTCCACTCCACTATGCAGCCTTCATTCTGGACTCCTGTCATGACAATAATACTTAATCATATGTCTCTTTTAAACAGCTCTCTCCCTCATCTGTTTAAATGCAGTATACATCATTTATCACATTTTCTCAGTCTTCCCCCAACCCTGATGTCAGCCCGTTTTACAACAGTAGCCCTATGCAGTATTTCTCCTTTTGTGCCTGAGATATTTCACTCAGCATAATGTATTTTGCCTTTCTTTTTAAGTATGCATTTCATGACACCCACTTTGATATTAACTAAGCATCCCAATCATCCTCTCATAAGAAAGACCAAGCATTTTCAAGGCAGGGTTTAAAAAAAATTACTAAATTTCAGTATAATAATACAAGAAAAATACGAACTTTCACACATTAATCATTTTTCTCGTTCTCATATGCGCAGATGGCCCAGTTAGTTCATTTTCCAAGTCGAAAGAGCCCACTGAAAGAGCCCCTTGGGGTAGAGGGCATTAGAGGGAAGAGAATTCAGGTTTGCACTGGCTGGGAGAGGAGGCAGGAGAATGCTCCACAGTTACTCTTCCACTTTGCCTCTGCCAAGCCGAAGCCCTCTGTACCCACAACTCAGTTAACCCTTCCAGAATATTCTAGAACATTCTACCACTTCAGCATTGTTCTATTTTCCTACTAAGACATCAACCCCTGGGCAACAAACTGTATTTTGAAAAGAAATCTTGAAAGAAAATAATCTCCCTCCCCCCATTTCACACATCATGGCCCTCACAAATGTATCATGTAATAGTACCATTGTTAGAAGATACAGTCTGTTGTTAGAATGAATCTCAATTTTATCCTTGTCCTCAATTTAACTGCATTCTCTTTTATTTCCCCACTTTCATGAATCACTAGAATATTTATGATCCAGGAAGTATTAAAAGAAGATGGAAGGAATATACTGAGTCATTATATAGAAAGGAACTGGCAGATACAGAGGAATTTAAAGAAATAACATATGAGCAAGAGTCTATGGTGATGAAGGAAGAAGTTCAAGTTGCTTTGAAGGAAATAGCAAAAAAATAAAGCCCCAGGAATAGATGGT